GGGAACTCTCTCTGCCTGTGCCCACTCCTCCTCCCCTGCTGCTGCCGTGCAGGCTTTCACAGATGTTCCTCCCAGGAAAAGGCAGCTGCAGCTCTCAACCTCCTGGTTTCCATCTCCCCGGTGGTCTGGCTCCACCCGTCTGTGATGGAGCTGCTGATAGTTCCTCCCTTCCTGAACCCATCCTGCTGCAAAGACAGAGCTGTAGTGATCAGAAGAAGAGAAGTTATGCTATGCCTTTTTCTCACTTTCTTCGTATATTCTGGCTGTGTAGCTATACCCTTGCTTTCCTTCCCTAGTGTTTCTGATCCTTGTTTCTTAAACAACTTGTAAACAACCAAGAGAAAACTCAAGACTGTAGATAATCGATATTTACAGTTGGATATGGTCTAATAATTTACACAACAGCCTGAGGTCTAAATAAGGATTGGGGTTTTTTCTTTGCTGAAAAAGAACGACCTCTTAAAATTTAAAGTGAAGGAAGGATTTGCACTGGTTTTTATTTTCTTGCTTTTGTTATGAACTTTTCTTTCCTTGCAAGGAGGCTTTGAGGATGGTGTAACTGAGTGTACGCATGCGCGTTGGCTTAAAAACGCATTTCATCTGTTTACAAGTTTCAGTTTAAGGGCAAAACCCTAAGGCAAGAAAATGCGTCATGCCTGGACTGTTGTGACCCTAGGGTATGTCCGTGCCACATTTGGGAAATGGGATGGACCTACTCAAAGTCAGTTTTATACTCTGAGACACCAGTGTCTGAAGTGAAACCAGTTAGCTGCAGAACTTTGCTGGTTTTGCAGTCTGCTAGCAACAGTCCTCTCAAATGTAACACATGGCTTTTCCCCATCCTGCCTGGAGATAACTTTTAGGTCAAACTTGTGGCATCTCAGAATTGCAGAAATTCCCCCAGCCGTAACACATCAGTAGCTTTGCAGTGCTAGCGACAGAAAAGTGCCATTATTACTCGTTGTGCCACTTCCCATCCATGAACTATGCTAGGCTGAAGAGCATGAAACAATCTGTGGCTGAATAGTGAGCACAAGATGGTATTTACCCTGTGGGCCTGCATTTGGTAGCACAGTCTTAATATGGTAATAGCCAGCTCTACATGGGCCAGCAATGAACACAAACAATTTGAATCTGACTGTTGGGAGAAATTCTGTATGGAGGATTTTTCAGGTGTGTATATACATGGTAATTGCAAAATGCTTGGTTGTTTACTGCTACAAATTTCAATTTCATTGAAATAAAAATTTGTGTCAATGTAATTGAAATTTCTTTTGTAATCCTGTCCCTTTGGGAGACTGTGAGTGCTAATCTGCATTCAGATATCCAGCCAAAAATTAAAATATCTGTCAATTTTATCAGATTATACCCTCCACTTGTACATCAGATATGTTTAACTTTTGTTCTCTTTTAGGAAGTTTATAACTTGCAATTAGCTAATGTATTTTGCATATTTTAATTTTTTTTAACTACAAATTATGAGAGCAAATGACAAGAGGGTTTTGGCAAAATTTGCCTTTTGAAAAATATATGTGATTTGTTAAAAGGAGGCAAGTTTTTTTCAGGCAAATGCAACTGAGGAGTTACAAATACATCAAGCAAAACTGTGCTTGTGATCTCATCATTATATCCAGGATTCAAACCAGCTTCCCTATGGAAGAAACCACACGGATTTTCTGTGTCTTTTATTTTCTGAGGTGAGCTGGGAATTTTGACCTCGGAGTCACTTTAAAGAATAGGCTTTCTTGCACGTGTTTTCCTAATGCACCTTGATGTTTGAGGACACGACCAGCACTGTGGCCTCACTGCCCCAGTCAGCACCCAGAGCAGCACGGCATTTTGCAGGTTCTGCAAAGTGGATTTCTTGCTATACCGATGCTTCAAGCTGGCAGATTTCCATCCCAGTGAGAGAATAAGATAAGCCTAAAAGGTATTTTCCTTGAGATCTTACAGACTGTGAAAGCTTCTGCGAAGGAGCACAATGTCAGTACCAAACCCAGAAGCCTGAGCACTGAGCACTGCAAATAAAGGATTTGCTAGTCTCTAGCTGAATTGAAAAATGGTCATGAAGTAGCTGTGTTGAAACTGGTTTCTTTACAAAGAAAGAAACAAACAAATAAACAAATACTAGTATTAAAATCAAATTGAACTAAACTGCTTTTATAGAGGTCTTATCTTAAAACATGTAGGTCCATAAGCAAGTTTTCTATGAACTTGTATACTGTGACTGAAGGAGCATTTGGAGCTGCATCTACAGCTGACACTCTGCTCTATATGCTCTGGTATCCAATAAAGGCTGAGCTCATGTTGAAACCCTTCCTTCAGCTGCAAAATTTATAGACTTTTTCTTTACTCAGCTGCCTGTTTTCACACACACAGAGAAATATTAAAAATTATAGTAACTTATCTTTGAGACCTCTGTCAAATCTAGCTGAAATCAGGCAATGAGTTCAAACATTACTAGGAGGGAATGTATACAGACACTCATACAGCTGCATCTACATCCCTGTAGATACAAAAAGATAAACCAAGTCAACTTTTTTTCCACATGAAAAAGGGGTATAAGTATATTTTGGTAAATAATAAAATGCATCACTTTGTACAGAAAAGCAAGAAAGCAAACAAAATATTTTCTTTAAAGGCATTGACATCAATATTTAAACCTGTTCCCTCTTTTCCTTAGCACATTTGCAAGTTCCTGTCAAAAGTATAAATGGCTTCAGTCAGACTAAACATACATTTTCTGTTTGCAAATATTTTGCAGTAAAATTGCACTCAGCAGCAGGGTAGAATAATTTCATTCACCATTCTCTTGAAGTGCATAGTAGAACTCTTAATTCTAAGAAACTTGGGCTGTTGAAGCCAGCTGCCAGCACTGTGCCATTGCTGTCGGGTCAGTGGACCAGGAGTTCACAGCCACATAAATTACTCTGGAAAATATGTTCGTTGTCTTCAAAATTGAGATAAAGCCACTAATTGTTTTACAGTCAGAATAAAGTCATTATTTACTTTTATCTGTGCTGCTGGTTGCTTTTGTTAGTTTCTTGCTGCTTTTTGTTTCCTTGTTGCTGAGCTGTTGCTCAGAGGCAAGGGCTGAGGAAGGTGCAGGATACTCGAGGAATAGTTTAGTCCCCAAGAGACTTGCTATGTAGATTGCTAGATAAAGTGAACAGCAGTACGAGCAATGGTATCTACTGCTGGTGTGTACACAGTAAGCATCTTCAGCACTTACTGTTCCTGCAGCTTTTGGCACATGGTTACAGCTGTGTTCCTCACTTTTCACGGGGTACCATTATATACCTCCTTCACTTTCTTCAGTGTTGTATTTCAAGTGGCAAATGAATACTGCATATGGTTAATTAGCTGGGGAGATGCTGAGTGCAGTTAGCAAGAATTGTAAGACAGGGTGGTGAAGAACTGTGTGTTAGAATATTCAGAATTTAACTCAACTTTATACATATTTCAGATGCATATAAATTTCTGGTTTTTAGAACTAAATCAGCACCTTGCTATGAGTTTTGACCAGGCATTAGTTAGTATGGATTTAAGTTGAGATTTTGAGTGGTTAAATCCAATGGTTAGTGCCAATTCAGTGGATAAATTTAGAGGTTTAAATGTGCATTTGCTGTATCAATGACCTGCACACAACTTAAGGCTGGGCACATCTATTCTGTCGCCCTTTAACAGACCAGCAATTCCCACTGAATTTCCCCGTGCCTGTGGCAAAGAAATCAGCAAATCAGTCTGTTCAGCTGTGCTTACCAGAGCAGCTCATCTCTTGAGCAAAAGCTGTGGCTGTTCAGGGTCTGTGTGTGGCTGCGAAGTCGGTCAAAGAAGTGCGTGTAAGTGCGAGTCTCACCTGGCACAGTCCTGTCCACAGCAGTGAGGTTGTGCACGGTTAGGCTGGGCACAGAAGTCTGCTCTTAACTGTGTGCCATGGAGATAAAGCTGCACAAAAGTGAAATTAAACAGCTCTCCCCTTCACAACCATTAGGATGATACAGCATGTCCTGGCCCTTTTCATAATGAGGGCCGAGATGTTTGCACAGCCCTCGGTTCACAGCGAGTTGCTTTAATTAAAGCTAACCTAGCCCACGCATGAACCCGACTGGTGAATTTGGGTCGCCTGGAGGACGCGCCACCTCGTCCAGTTATCTCGGGGGAAAGTGGGGGATGAGAATTAACACAATCCAGGCTGCACGGATGCCCGAGGCAGCTCAAAACCGACCTGCGGGGATACCCAGGGGAGGGTGGCCCCCGCGCTGCCTCTGGCCGTGCCCCAGGCCCTGCCGCCGGCCCCCTCAACTAGCGGGAACAGAGGTCTTGGTCCAGGGGACGGCCCTGCAGCCCCTGCCGCCCCTCCTGCTTTAGGCAAGAAAGTACCCAGGTATCAAACGGAACCGAGGGTTGGTACTGAAAGAGCAAGTGAGGCGGAAATTTAAAGCCCCTGTGCTAATAATAACAGTATAAATAACCGAAGACATCTTGTAAACAGTGCGGTCATAACCCTGAAACATTAAACAGCGCGGTGGGATCTGGCGCATCAGCTGCCGGCGGCCGCTGCCGGTGCAGGGGGAGCGCCCCGCACTCCTGTTTATCTCAGCCTCATCTCCCACGGGTGCGCTGATCGATAGAGGGGAGATGTTTAAGTTAAAAATTCCCGGCGCTGAGGACCGACTGTACTTCATCAATAGATCACTGTTCCTGTCCCCGCGGAGCGGAGCGGCCGGAGCGGCGGGGGCGGCTCCCGCAGCGCCCGGGCACCGGGCTGCGGAGCCGGGCCGGGCTCCCGCGGCGAGCTGCGGACCCAGTCTCTCCCTCCCCCAGGGCTGTGCTCCAGGTCTTTAGCTCCGGGGAAGCAGACCTCCTGTGACCCGGTGCGGAGAGGCGGGATCCCCGCAGCGCGGCCGCTTCGTGGAGCGGCGGAGCCGGCGGAGGCTCAGTCCTTCCCCCGCCGAGCCCGAGAGCCTCAAACCAACACTTAACACCGCTCCGTGTTCAGTACAAAGGAAGGTTTATTCACAGAAATAGAGCAGAATCTGCTTGAAGAAAATATATCTATATATCTTTAGGGTGAATTACTTCATAGAGATGACTGTCAAAGTCAGTTTTTCTAGGCATCTACATATTTCACAGGTCTCAGACAAAAGATACACGCGGGGTAGGTTTTGTTTGATCTCTGTCTTTTCTCTAGTAGCTCTTGAACCAGCAAGGCTGTGGTTGCAGGACACTCGACTGTACACGCATTTAATAAAGTTAAATAGAGTCGGGATCTCTCGGGGTGGATGGAGTCTTTGCTAGGGCATATTTGGTCTCCTCAGCGCCGGGAAAGCGGCTCTCCCCGTGGCTCTGCCCGGGGCCCGGGGCAGCGGCGGGGCCGCGGCGGGTCCCTGGCCGCGCCGCCGCCCGCTCCACGGCCGCGCCGGGACGGACGCTGCTGGCCCGGCCGCGGGGCTCAGGATGCCGTCGGGCCGCACAAGCGGTTTGTGTTCACCACTTCTTTCAGGTCACTCTCGGGTTTGCCGGCTACCATAAAAGGCCAAGTCTGTAGCCAGGAAAAGACACGAGTGGGAAGGGGGTTACACATGGAGAAATACATATTGCAACGCTCATAGCGCCAGCGGGTCCGGCTCGGGAGCGCCCGGGGGGACCGAGCCCGACACTCCCCACCGGAGTCCACTTGGGCATCGCTCAGCGGGGCTCAGGCGGGGGAAGTTGCCGCTGGCTTTATCAAGGACCCTTTTGCTTTTCCCCGGCGGCTGATGCCGCTTTGCCTCATAGCCCCGGTGGTCCCCACCGGGCGTCATCGGGGCAGCGAAGCCCGTCTGATACGCGGCAGAAGGGAGAAAGGAGCCGACTGGCTCCGGCACATTCGCATGCCCCCGGCATAATCGCCGCGGGCACCCCTCGCGTTTGGTCGAGACCGGCGCGGGGACTCCGACCCGCGGGAGCCGCCTCACGCCTCGCCGCGCTACCCCGGGCGCAGGAGCTGCCTAGGGCCCCGGCAGCCCCCGGCCGCTCTCCCTGGCCTCCCGCGGCTCGGGGAGCATGTTTTGGTGTGCCTCTGTGCGGAAGAGGAGGGAGGTTATATCTATATTGGGTGCTGGGTTTGTTTTATTTGTTTTCGTATGCTGTTGCGCTGAGGATTTTGTTTTTAATCAAAAATTATCTCCCAGGCCCTTAGCAGCTGACAAGCGGGTAACGTACTTTCCCCCCAGCGTCCAGAGCTCAAAAGCAGAGCCTGACCTCAGTGAAATGTCCCCAGCTCCCCTCTGTGATCCATTTATGGGTCAGGGTCTGCACGTGTGGGCAATGTAAAGGCTGTATGTCTAAAAAGAACCCAGGCAGATCTTGCTTACCCCTGGTTTACATAATTTGCATATATTTTTAGTGCTGGAAACTGGATATTTCTGGCAGCTGGGTATGGCTGGGAGATCCAGGGCTGCTCGAGAAAACTTTATGTGGTGGGACAAGCAGGAGGGGCACCACACAGCCCAAGGAGAAGCATTGTGGTGTGTGCCTGGGGCAGACACCTCCTCTGGGGAGTCTGCATTGGTATTTATTTTTCCTCTGCCAGTTTACAGGTAGGTATAGGAGAAATTTCCTGGACTTGGAAAACCCGAGCGGTTGAGCACAGAACCCCAGAAGTCTTGTCTTTAAAAAGCTAGGGCTTGGGGACAGTATTGTGTCAGGAGACATTGGGGTAGAGACACAGGATAAGATTAAATCCTGGCTCCTTCCTCAAATACACCCTTTTCTACCCAAATTCCTATACCTGCCTACTTGCAGGTAGAAAGCTGCCATCAACCCTCTATGGTTTCTCAGTTGTTTTTGGGACAGTAAAGTGTAAAGCCTGCCCCTGCTTATTTGTAGCCAGCGTGGCTGCCTGTCTCCTGGAAGGGATTGCTAGGAACAGCAGAGGGGGCCTAGGAGGCTTGGTGCTCAAGGCACAGGGCAGCAGGGCAGCTGTGAGCCTGTCCCCTTGTACAGCACCGCTTTCCACCCCGCTGGCCCCAGGCTCTCTGTGAGAAGCACAGCAAAGGTTTGTCCCCGCACATGCCCCGTGCCAGCTCCTCGCCCACCTCTCCCCATGCACACGCACGGTGCCTGTCCTCGGTGGACTCTGACTTACCAAGTTGACTGGGTGGATGTAGCCATTCTCATACTTGTCATTGGCCAGGATCTGCCTCAGGTGAGCAATGTAGCTGGAGGCCAACCTCAAGGTGTCCAGTTTGGAAAGTTTGGTGTCTGGGGGCACCCAGGGTAGGGTGGTCTTAAGCCTGGAGAAGGCTTTGCTAAGAACTCTCATCCTCGCCCTCTCCCTGGCGTTGGCAGCATTTCTCTGTACCTGCTTTCCCTCCTGGCTCACTCCATTTAAAGGGCTCTTCTTGGGGGGAGCTTTTTTCCTCTTGCCCGAGGCCCCTCTCCCCTTCTGAGGGGAGCCATTCTCGCCATTGGATCCCTCCTCGTTGCTCTCGGTGGACGCCCCAAACTCTTTGTTGTTATCCATTTTCAGGCCATCGCACTCCAGCATCTCCACCTCCTGCAGATCTTCCACATCACTGAGGGACCCAGTGGACATGGTCTGGAAGATGCCAAATGACCAGCAGGAAAGGGGGGAGGGGGGGAAAGAAGGGCAGCTCCTCAAATCTATTTCAAGGCAGCGGAGGAGAGAAGGGGTGCCAGTATTTTCCTCCTCTTCCCTCCCCGCCCAGGACTAAGGCACAATACCAGTCCAGAGAGGCTCCCCGCCCTCCCGCCCCCCAACCCCGCTTTGCCTGTGTTTGAGGGAGGGAGTGAGATTGTGTGAGAGAGGGAGAGAGAGAGGGAGAGAGAAAGCCGAGGAATTTAGTGAGGACACTAGTAATTTATCTGGGGGATAGGAGAGGCGGATCCAGCCCAGGGGAGGGGCCCTGCCCACTGAGCACACCACATCCCCAATCACAGACCTTTGCACAGGACAGGGAATGAGGTATCCCAGCAAGCCTTTGCCGAGAGCTCGGAACTGGGATTCAAATCTTCACAACTGGACTAAAACAACTTACTAACTCTCTCTCCCTGTGCTCTGCCTTTCTATCCTCCCCCTTCCTCCTCCTCCTTCTCCTTCTCCTCCTTCTCTTCTCCTTCCCCACTTCCCTTTACAGCCCAGGGTTGCTCTCCCCCTCTCTGCCTCCTAGATGACCCAGGCAGCTGGTGTCATGATTCTTGATGAAAGCCAAAATGGGTCATGAGCAGAGAGAGCAGCAGATCCACCAGCCAAGCCTTCCAGGGAGCTTTGTAATGCGTGCCGTCAAAATGCTGTCCTGTAACCTAATCTGGGGGAGATTTGTGGATGATTATATTTGTGAACACATCCTGTCCAGCTAGTTGCATATTCCAGGAAGGGAGTGCTCCGCTGCCTGGCCAGCAGCGTGGACCTTGCCGTCACAGCCCAGAGGCTGGAGGCAGGAGGATCTGACTTCTTCCAGCCTTCCGGGGTGACGTCCGACAAGTCCCGGTCCCTGTCGGCCTTTGAGTCCTCCCAGCTGTGAGTTTTGCAGAGGCTTCCTGGTCCACAGGTGTGACAAGTGGCCAAGATCCCAGCACTCTGTGAGCCCCACTGAGTGGAGGGAGAGTGTTGTTCTGCTGGGGAGGGTCTTTGTGGCTGTGGATAGAGCAGCAAGGGTGTGCATGAAATGAAGGAGACTGGGAAGAGGGGTGTTATTGGATGGTGGAGTTCCCACAGAAAATAAACCTTTACTTGGTGTGCAGAGCAGATGTCAGCAGTTCATTCCTCTGTACCTGTGGACTGTTTTGTCTGCTGATTCGTGCATGCTCAAAAGTCGGGGTTTTACCTCAATGAAGAAGCAAGATAAGGGATAAGGCTCCTCCTGTAGGACTGAGGGCATTAGGCTGGGCTCGGCAACCCCTGAAGCCAAACATTCCCAGGTTTTACCACAAGTGTGAGTGAGTGGGTTGCTGTGCAGCTTGAATGAACAGGCTTATGCTGCTGTTACAAACTTATGCACTTGTGTATTCAGCCTCAGCAGAACAGGCTTTTTAAAGCAGTTAACTTAGTGCTATCACTTCTTCCCCTCCATGTAAAATAGTCTCCTAAATCCACATTTGGAGGCCAAAGAGGCCAATGGATCAGGAACTTGCTCCCATAGCTCCTTCCCTACTCACGTTCTCCCTGAAACCTCGCAGGCTGCCCTGCAGTCTAGGTTTTGAACACAAGGGGCTAAAGAACTGCACACAGGGACTGCTCTTATTGCAGGAGCAATTCCACTTATTCAGCTGCTTATCTGAGGATTTGCATAGCTCCAGAAAAAAATGTGCAGCCTCAGATGTCACTAGTGGCTTCATAGTTAATCCAAAGTCACTGCAGCAATAGGAAAAGGCTCTTGCTGATCTGTTTAAGCATCACATAGAGTTTTCTGAATGCACTAAAAATCCCAACAAAAACTGTTGAGGGCCAAGCTGGTATGTCTGCCGAGTGCTGTGTACTGTCTGCAGATTGCATTTTTAGTAGGAGGCAGAGTGTCATTTTTGATAGTCAGCAAGGAAGTCTTGCCTATCTCTTGATTCATCTTTCTTCCTTGGCTCATGTAAGCCAGAAGAAAAAAACTGTAGATCTAAACTTTAAACCACCTCTTTATCATTTGTGTGGAAGATAACACCTTCCCTCTCACAATAGGATAAGTACATTAAGATATCATATCTCCAAGCCCTAAGCTCTTGGGAATTCAGTAATTTCTAAATTCATGTTGTGTTAACTGTGTCTTGTTTGTGTTTTCTCTGTATATAAACTAAACTAAACTAAACAGATTGTCAGCATATCAATCCTAATTAATGAATTACTTTTTTTTTTTAAATAACATTCCTGTTGCAAATCCAAAATATCAATAATAACCAGTGTGGAGATTTATGAGCCTCCTTATTTTCTAGGCCTGATTGTTGTTTGTGCAGGTGGAGATTTAAATGGCCATATCCATTGCAGAGATTAATAGTCCAAGTGATTGATGTCACAATTGAGCTAAAAGACTCTAATTGGAGCAAGGATGACAGAAAACCAAGTTGAAGTTGATTGTGTCTCTAAGGATGAGTGACCATACAGGACAAAATTCCATTAAAACTTTAGCATCAGAAATTCCCAGATGACAAAACAACTAAAACAATATATACTTATAGCCTTTCCATTTTAAACTTTATGTTAGTACTTTCTAAACTTTTGTTGTATAAAGCAGAAGGAATGATATGGCTCTTTAAAAATGCCTTTAGTATGCTGCTACATATACATTTTGAATATCAAGATATGCATACATGTGTGCCATGAGCCTTTAGAATTTCCACACATTTGTAGTTTTTACTTCTTTACATTTTTAAATACTCAGGATCATTAAAGTTGACTTAATAAAGACCACCCAAATTTGAAGAGACACAGAGCATATTTTTTCTCTGTTCATTTTGTGGAGATTACTGCATGTATGTGATGTATACTCACATACATATTATACATATATGTGTATGTTATACATATAGTATAATATACTTTGGGTTCTTTATGCATACAAACTATTATACACTCTTAACACATTTATCCATTATTCCCTCTCCAAGGGGAGCAGCATGGGCAGAGTTAAAAAAACAACATACCTTCTAATCTACTTCCTTATTTGTTTGTTACATGACTTGAACCTCTGCTTTTCCAGCCTTCCTGCTTCTTATGTCTCACCTGGCAAACCCAGAGGGCTTGTACCCCTAATCTAACTCCCAGTTTCGATCCTTTCCCCCTCACCTTTAGCCCAGTCCTCCTGCTTTTCTTAACAGCACCTGATTTGGAATAGAGACTGACAGGGTGGAAACCAACCCAGCCCCATGGGAAGGGTAAGACTGGGGTGGCTGTATTACCCAGATAATGGCGGAACCCCTTGTTTTCCAAGGTAGATGGCACATGAAAAGTTAAATGAAAAGGAGCTGTTTAGAAAATTCAGCACGTATAAAGCCTTGTTCAACCACATGTGAGGTGTTGCCTCTGCCTTGGTATTACACTGGCCACTGACTTAACAACTGGCTGGGAAAGACAGATGGAGCTAAAGTCCTTTTTGCCTTTCCAGTGCATTTGTGCCTTCATTCATGTTTTTAAAAGAAAGTTGAAATGCTGGCATGAGGAACATCAGTGGAAATCCGCAGATTTACCCTGTAGATTATTTTCTCCTCTGCAGTGCTCTGGTCATGCAGGACCATGCATCTCTCTTACTCCTAAGTAATAGACCCACTAAGACAAGCCATTTAGGACATACTGGGGGTGCCAGGGACAGAGGTTTGGGATGTCTGGTCTGAAGGGTGTCAGATGAGGGACACATCTCATACAGGCTTATGCTGGTCTATGACAGGTTACAAATTTCCCTCTAGAAAGGAAGTCCCACTTTTTAGCCTCCAGTCTTATCTTTCTTGTGCTGGAGTAACATGGTAATTTAAGAACAGCTTTGGGACTTGAGGCCAAGATTTCTGCAAGTATTTAATGATTTTGCATGGCACAGCTTGGTTTATTTTCTGATTTTCTGTGTCATTTATCAAGGCACCATATTTTCACTACATATTAAACAGTCACCCAAGAACAAACTCAGATCACCCAGACCTGAGGAAAACATAATCAGTTGCTGGTTTTGAAATTATTTGCCCAAGTACAATACAGGTGTATTCTTTGGAGAATAACTGAGGAAGTCACTCACAGGCAGCCAGCTGATCATTAATTATGTTCAGTCAGGTTTCAGAATAATCAATAAGAAAAGTACAACTGTATTACTATTTTTAAGTAACCACTTTAAAAAGAAAACCTGGTTGCACTGAGATTTCTCCTGGTTACTCTTGGTCTCACCCAAAAACCAAGTGAAATGGTAAAAGGACTTTAGAATCATACTTTGACATACCTTAAGTGAAATAATGCCATAATATTATATAAACAAATAACTAACACTACTATTCTTAATAATATAAGGTATTGTAGAGTATGGACTGTGCTAGGGAAATTCATCAAAATTGTTTGTAACAGTGGAATAGCTAGTGGGAAGGGTCTGAAACCTTTTCACATCTCATTTCCAGTGCTGTGTATATGTTTCTGGTCATAGTTTTCGTTTGAAAGGTAAAAGATATTGTGAAAAATAACATAAAACAATAGAAAAGGAAAAATAATGTTGTTTCCAAAAGAGTAAAAGGGATGTCCAGGAGAACTGGCCCAAGGGGCACATATTGGTATGTGACATCAGCATCATTGTCCCTCCCCAAGAAATCCCAGTCTCTTCCTTCAGACCCCTGAAGGAAAAATCAGAGCTTCTTGAGAAAGTCTTCTCTGGAGTAGTTTATTGTGAAGGAAAAACCCCAACCCAACAATATTTGTGTTCATTTTAATGAAAGGTTTTGTGGATACCTAGAATGGAAAAGTTTCAGTCTTATTGATTAGAAAATTTAAAAGGGAATAGGCTGTAGTTCCAAGAAAATTTATGTAGAAAATTATGCTGGAGCCATTGTTCCATTTAATGTGATTTTTTTAAAACCTTGAAATATCACAAGGCCATTGAAACTCTGGGAAGAGGTATTCAAGAAAAATTTCTTCAGTGGATATTGAGAAAACACTTTGTGAAACTCAAAATACCTAATTCCAGATTTAATATTTTAATATTTTTTGTCACATTGATGACAAAATCTGTGACAAATGTAAGCAGTGCTTTTGTTTACCACAGTGAGTTCATGTGGTAACTGGATAAGTTTTGCCTCCCAGCCTTATGCCACCCAGTACCTTTTCCTTGAGTGGCTCCTCAGAAATCAGCTGCACTGCTCACAGGGTAAACTAGTGTGTATGAACATGAATAGCAAAAACTGCTTCTACAGAAGAAAAGGCATGATTAAGTATCCTAATGCCTAAGAGAGATACCTACAACAAGGCCAGTATTTTAATCAGGAGTTAAGACAAGTCTTAATCATCAGTTCATCAAATCCTGGTGTGACTCACATCCTCCTCCTATTCCAGATCTATGGTGAGGACTTTGGGTCTGCTGCTGTGTTAAGCAGTGTTTTGCTGTGATTTAGAACCTGAGTACACCACAAACAAGGGGCATGTCAGATATAGACATTACCGAAACAGAAACTAGACAGCTAATCCTTGACATGAGTGTTCATCCCTAGCTTTCAGTGAACTGTTCACAGATGTGCTAGTGAATCTCCTTTGGCAGGATGCTTGTATGAAGCAAACCTAGGAGAAATTAGCTCAGTTGGTCAGAGGATGGGACTAATAATGCCAAGGTAATGGGTTTGATCCCTGTATGGGCCATTCACCGAAGAGTTGGACTTTATGATCCTTGGGGTCCATTCCA